ATGAAGAGAAAATTCCAAGGAGCAGGATGGAAAATGTTTAGTTCCCAGGGCCTTTTCTTCAGCATGAACGCAGGGGTGCGCAGTTCCGGCACCTCTAGCATTGAATGGCAAGGGGTGATGGGGTGTACTGGAGGGTCTATTGTTGCTGGCTGCTAGGGGATCTATTGTAGATGGGGCTTCTATTGTTTCTTGTGAGCGATCTGTTTAGCTTGAGGTGTCAGTTGTTGCTGGAAGGGATCTATTGTTACTGGCTGCTGGGGGATATATTGTAACAGTTGTGTCTACTGTTGCTTGTGAGGGATCTAATGTTGCTGGGAGGGATCTACTATTGAGGGAGAGGTCTATTGTTGCTGACTTCTGCGAGTTATATTGTTGCTGGGGAGGGGGGGGGATCTCTTCTTACTTGTGCGGGGATGGTATTTTGTTGTGGGGAGTCTATTGTTGCTAAGGGGATCTATTATTGCTGTGGAATCTACTTAACTGCTTTTTTTTTATCAATAAATTCCATACAAATTGCGTAGCATCACAGAATGATACTTGGTTCTGTATTCTCTAATAGGGCCATACTGGGAGGTGGGTAGGGGGTGCAACCAAAGGATGATGCTTGGAGGTGGGTAGTGGGTGGAACCAAGGGACGGTGCTTGGAGGTGGGTAGTGGGTAGAACCAAGGGACGGTGCTTGGAGGTGGGTAGGGGGTGGAACCAAGGGACGGTGCTTGGAGGTGGGTAGGGGGTGGAACTAAAGGACAATGCTTGGAGGTGGGTAGGGGGTGAAACCAAGGGATGGTGCTTGGAGGTGGAACCAAAGGACGGTGCTTGGAAGTGGGTTTGCTGGAGGAACCAAGGGGTGGTGCTTGAAGGTGGGTAGGGGGTGGAATTACAGGACGGTGCTTTTTAGGTGGGTAGGGGTTGGAACCAAAGGACGGTGCTTGGAGGTGGGTAGTGGGTGGAACCAAGGGACCGTGCTTGGAGGTGGAAACAAGGGACCGTGCTTGTAGTTGGAACCAAAGGACGGTGCTTGGAAGTGGGTTTTCTGGAGGAACCAAGGGGCGATGCTTGGAGGTAGGTAGGGGGGTGGAACCAAGGGAAGGTGCTTGGAGGTGGGTAGGGGGCGAAGGGAAGGGTTGACATGGAAGAGGGAGTAACTGCACCTATTCTCTGAGAAAAAAAGCCCTGTTTGTTCCAAAATCAAATGTGAAAAGCAACCAAAGTACATTCATTCAATCGAACGTGCAAAGAATTTTCATTACAAATGTTCATTCGGAAATCTACTAGTGTATAACCAGCTTTAGTCTAGGAATTTTAGTTACCCGAGCAGAATATAAGTGACTATCTTTAGCTCTGCACCTTCTCCCGCATTTTGGCAACCAGTAAAGACAGGATTCAAACGTGTCAGGATGATAAAGACAGTAAATGATGGTTACAGGTAAATAGGCCTAGCATAGCTTTTTATTTTAGTACTTTACATGTACATTCACTTTATTAGGTACACTGCTTAGTACAAAAGTCAAACAGCAAATCTTGAGGCTGCAACGCTATCTAAAAGCATGAAGACATGGTCAAGAGGTTCATCGGTGATCACTCAACATGGAGACAATGGAGGTTATCTGCTAAAGCTGGAGAGTTCAAAATCCGTTGCCGCTCTGCATAGAAACCAATCAGCTTCCAGGGTGTATTGCCAAATCTTAACTGAACAAAAAGAAGTTAGAAGCCGATTGGCTCCCATGCAAAGCTACACCAGATGTTAGTAAATCTCCCCCAATGTGTAATCTAAGTGGCTTTGGCCAGTGGTGCAGGTGGGGTGGCTTACATATTTCGGAAACTGATGACCTCCAGGGATTTCAAAGCGCTACCATCTCAACAAAGGTTGTAAAAAGTTTCAAATCTTAACAAGGGATGGTGGAGAAATCGAAGACAGAACAGTGAGGCTTGTCCCAGCAGGCTGCTTAACTAAGCCCCTCCACAACACTGCCATCTCTGAACACACAACACAATGAAACTTGAACTGGTTGTAAACCTTTCCATATACCCATTGAAGTGACTGGCCACAGGTAATACAAAGAGATTAAAAGAAATCCTCCTAAATAAGTTGTACCTGTTTATCTGCAGTATTCTCTCTCTCAGTCTTCAACCCTTCATTATATGGAAATTATACAGCTTGTCTGAGCTTTCAGAAATCGGGGGGATTACACTCTGCAGATCTCAGCAAGGAAAGTTGATTGGAGGGAAGGGACACACTGACCTTCACACAACACACAGGAACAGAGCTGAGGCTGTCAATCACAGCCCGTGTTCTGGAGCTCCCTCCCGTTACCATTTTTCTCTTGGTGTCAGGAAAACCAGGCAGTTAAGCCTCGGTTTTACCACCATCTTTTTACCATCCTGCCTGGACACCCACATACAGCTGTACACATGCCCTGGCAAAACTTAAGCAGCGTGTTGCTTTTGGCGAGTGTTGTCGCCACTGAACACAGCTAATACAGTTCAACAAGGCCACCCTTCATCTGACTGACAATGCACACACAACTGCAGTGCAGTACTGCAGCTTTTAAAGGGTTAAAATAATATATATATACACATACACAGTGAAGGAAATGCATATTTGCTCCCCTGCTGATTTTGAATGTTTGCCCACTCACAAAGAAATGACCAGTCTAAAAATCGAATGTTCGGTGTATTGTAACACTGAGAGACAGAACAGCAACAACAAATTCAGCAGAAATGCATGTCTAACAAATGATGACTGATCTGCATGTTCATGAGGGAAATAAGTATTTGATCCCCTTCACAAAACATGACTTAGCACTCGGTGGCAAATCCCTTGTTGGCAATCACAAAGGTCAGACGTTTCCTGTAGTTGGCCACCAGGTTTGCACACATCTCAGGAGGGATTTTGGCCACTCCTCTTGGCAGATCCTCTCCAAGTCATTAAGGTTTGGTGGCTGCCATTTGGCAACTCGAACTTTCAGCTCTCTCCACAGATTTTCAATCGGATTAAAGTCTGGAGACTGGCTAGGCCACTCTAGGACCTTAATGTGCTTCTTCTTGAGCCACTCCTTTGTTGCCTTGGCCGTGTGTTTTGGGTCATTGTCATGCTGGAACACCCATCCACGACCCATTTTCAATGCCCTGGCTGAGGGAAGAAGGTTCTCACCCAAGATTTGAGGGTACATTGCCCGTCCATCATCCCTTTGATGAGGTGCAGTTGTCCTGTCCCCTTAGCAGAAAAACGCCCCCAAAGCAGAATGTTTCCACCACCATGTTTGACAGTTGGGATGGTGTTCTTGGGGTCATAGGCAGCATTCCTCCTCTTCCAAACACTGCGAGTTGAGTTGATGCCAAAGAGCTCGATTTGGTCTCATCTGACCACAACACTTTCAACCAGTCCTCCTCTGCATCATTCAGATGTTCAGTGGCAGACTTCAGATGGGCCTGGACATGTGCTTTCTTGAGCAGAGGGACCTTGCGGGCACTGCAGGATTTCAATCCTTGTCGGCGTAGTGTGTTTACCAATTGTTTTCTTGGTGACTGTGGTCCCAGCTGCCTGGAGATCATTGACAAGATCCTCACGTGTAGTTCTGGGATGATTCCTCACTGTTCTCATGATCATTGACACTCCACGAGGTGAGATCTTGCATGGTGCACCAGACCTAGGGAGACTGACAGTTGTTTTGTGTTTCTTCCATTTGCGAATGATTGCACCAACTGTTGTCACCTTCTCACCAAGCTGCTTGGCGATAGTTTGGTAGCCCAGTCCAGCCTTGTGTAGGTCTACAATCTTGTCCCTGACATCCTTGGACAGCTCTTTGGTCTTTGCCATGGTGGAGAGTTTGGAATCAGATTGTTTGATTGCTCCTGTGGACAGGTGTCTTTTATACAGGTAACAAAATGAGATCAGCACCACTCCCTTTAAGAGACTGCATCTAACCTTTAGCTTGTTACCTGTATGAAAGACAAATCCTGCTGAATGATAGGGGATCAAATACTTATTTCCCTCATGAACATGCAAATCAATAATTTGTTAGACATGAATTTCTGCTGAATTTTTTGTTATTTTGTTAGACATGAATTTCTGCTGAATTTTTTGTTGCTAGTCTGTCTCTCAGTGTTACAATACACTGAACATTCGATTTTTAGACCGATTATTTCTTTGTGAGTGGGCAAACATTCAAAAACAGCAGGGGAGCAAATACACATTTCCTTCACTGTACATATATATATATATATATATATATTACACACACACACACACACACACACACACACACTGGTAGAAATCGTGATATTTTGGCATCAATATTGAAAATATGACTGATCATCAAAAAAGCTGTCTTTTATTTATGATAGTGAGCATATGAAGCCATTTATTATCACAGAGTTGTTTGGCTCATTTTTAAATTATTATAACAGAAATCACCCAAATGGCCCGGATAAAAGGTTTCCCTCCCCTGGAATGTTCGGCCTTGGTACCGACACAAAAAGGTGACACACAGGTTACAATGGCAATTAAAGGTTGATTTCCCACATCTGTGGCTTATTACATTGCAATTAGTGTCTGTGTATAAATTGTCAGTGTGTTTGTTAGCTCTTATGTGGATGCACTGAGCAGGCTAAATACTGAGCCATGGGGAGCAGAAAAGAACTGTCAAAAGACCTGCGTAACAAGGTAATGGAACTTTATAATGGAACGTTGGAGCAAGTGAATATAGATCTGAAGTGGCTGAAAGAGGCTAGAGGAGACCTGCAGCACTGAGATGGGGGAAAAAGGATAATAGGGTGAAAATCACCCATAATTGATCACCCTCTCCCTACCTCATCTTTCATCACTCACCTACCCGTTTTTCTCGCCAGCTTTGCAATCTTCAAGACAATCTCTTGGGTTGTATATGTCATGTCTGCCATCATTAATAGTCACTGCACACTGGTTGTGCTGCAATAGACCTGTGTAATGCAATCCCCTTAACTAAACATCACCCAGTTAGGGTTTAGATTTACTTTATGTTACATCGCGCATGGTATTGCCAAAAGCTAGACAACTGCAATCTGGAAAGGCGTTGTCTGGACTGCTGGATTTGCAGCACTATGCAGATGGTGGAGACAAAATGTGGTGTACGCAGCACAAAGGTCTCGGGACCGTACCCAATCCGGTCCTAAGTCAACATTTTAGGCTGGTGGAGGTATAATAGTGACAAAAATAAATATAAAGGAGCGACCTGTACAAAAGTTCCTATCGCTCGAAAGTCTATTTGAACTGCCTATTGAAAATAACAGGTAAAGCCTGGGCAGCACAGTGGCTAAATGGTTAGCACTTCTGCCTGGCACCACTAGGGTTGTTGGTTCGAATCCCAACCACAGCACCACCTGCCTGCAGTTTGCATGTTCTCCCTGTTCCTGCGTGGGTTTCCTCCCACCCTCCAAAGACAATATATATATATATATTACATTCACATCAGTCCCTAACCCTCAAGGGGCATACAATCTAAGGGCCCTAACTCACATTCATACATACACATACTAGGGCCCATTCACCTTCCAGCATGTCTTTGGAGTGTGGGGAGGAAACCAGAGTACCTGGAGGAAACCCACGCAGGCACAGGGAGAACATGCAAACTGCAGGCAGGTGGTGCCGTGGTTGGGATATATATATATAAAGCGCTGTGTAAATTGATGGCGCCAAGTGCCTGTAATAAGATAAAGCCACCATGTTTTGGGGGAAGTGCCTCCCACTTCCTCAGGGCTGGAACAATAGATGTAATTGGTACAGTGATGAGACTTATGCCGGCCATACATGGGTCGAAATTCTACCAATTTTTCGTCTGCAATTCCTAAGAATAAGCAGTCGATTTTCACTCTGTTAGTGGGTCAATGGCTCTGGCCGATTTTCGCGGTTCCTCCCCTTTTCGGTGATCGAGCGTGTTGGAAAATTCGTTAAAAAACAACCGGTTTTCGACTCAATGATGGTCAAATCATATGATTGTTTTTTCGAAAAGAATATGCGCATGAGCCGTGACCGGGAAGGAACAGAAGTTTCACCTGTTCTATGGGGTGAGCTTTATGACTTGGTCGGCTGATATTCAAAATCACTGATGGCAGTGTTGGATTACCGAGCGAACAACGTTTTTAATTTTTTGGGACGAAAAATTGTTCGGAATTCGAAACATGTATGGCCTGCATTAGAATGAGCCATACCACACCGCCACTCTGCAATTACGAGAAGATCTATCAGCTCACAACGAGCATCAAAGTTTCATCACAATTCCAACCCTGAGGAAGAGGGAGGCACTTCTGCCGAAACGCGTTGGATTTACCAGTTATCTTTAATAAACATTTCAAATAGACTCTCAAGTGATATGAACTTTTTGTCCCGGGCGCTCTTCTATACACATCCAAGAATTTTCTGCTAGCATCCTCTTTGTCCCCATCAGAGAGTTAGCAGCCCAGGACCGTAACAGGGTCCACCTACATCGCAACTTCATTGAGTATTAGTTCTCCCCAAGGAAGACTTACTCCACAGTGCATCCACCAATGCCAAGCCTTGTTTTCCCTAGTCCAGCACTATCACACACACAAAAATGTCCTCTTGGCACACACCCCAAGCCCTTTATTACCAACTAAGCATTCTTTTCATAGTATCAATATTGTGCTGATCATGTAGGGTTTCCAAGATAGGTGTACCTAATAAAGCATCCAGGTGTAGGAAGAGTTATGAGCAGCTTCAGGAAGTACCAACCAATGGAGGTAGAGGGCACTATCCATCCTCAGATATGCAACCTGGGAGTCAGTTGTTCAGCCTATCCCCATGGTGAGGCCAGCATGTTCTGCCTCCTGATCCCATTGGCTGTGCCCTACCTGGTTTACTCCCAATAAGAAATGACAACGCTTACGTTTTAGTTTCCATTGTTTTCAATGAAAGGATTAGTCCACCCGAAAGGTATTACTCAGTGTTCAGTAAATGCTGATGTGGTCCACAGTGGTGGTATTTATAAAGCAATTAGTACCCCACTAGTGTAATGTTCCCTGGAGGGACCCCCAACTCTGCCTCACGACGCTGCCTATTTGAAACAGATGTGTTCCTAAACAGGGGCGGACTGACCATTTGGAAACTCGGGCACTGCCCGAGGACCCGGGGTCAGTAGGGGGCCCCATGAGATGCCCCTGGTACCTTTTTCATAGGCTTTTTTGAGTTTGGGCAAGGACACAGGGGCCCCATGATCCCCTATTGCCCGGGGGCCCCAGTTGTCAGTCCGCCCGTTCCTAAATGTGTTGTCACGCTCCCCCTGCTGGATTCTACATAGGAATATATAAGGAGAGCCAGTATGGGCTAAACCTCTTCCCGAAATAAAAGTGATATAGGCAAGGATGTGAGAATATAGTATCTCTATACGAAAGTTTTTCCCAAAATTCATCACAAAAAGTGTGAAGGGATACTAGCAGTATCACCCATTTATACATATTCATTGAATCCACCACAGAGCTTCTAAAGCATCCTACACATTTTTAAACAAGTTGTTTAATATATTTACATTTTTCTTGGATGTAGCTGGTGGGCCCTAAGGAATAACTTTTACAACACGTCAACTCTTTTTCTGGGGATACCCAGCAAAAATATCATCTCTGCTTTTCTCCCGTGTACTTTGAGAGCTGTTATTACTGAGCAGTTCAAACATTGCATTGCTTACGTTCAGCCTGTCTGCAGTCTGCACTGTAACCGGGATACAGAATAAAGGAAGGCATCTGTTATCTATACCTGTTTGATTCAAAGTCTTCAGTGCCAGGACCTATAGATATTGATTTCTAGGTCTCGAATGCCTTTCCTGTTTGCAGTGCTGGTCTGCAGACAGGCGCTCTTGTATCGGTTTAGACAGAACATGTGTGCAGACTGGCCCTGAGAATAAGGAAGCAGCAGCAGTTAGTGATCTTCGTTGATTACACGAGTGCACTGCAGCATATAAATCATAATTTCATCAGTCAATACCCTGAACAACTCATGTATATGGAGTAGTATATGGAATAGATGCCTTCCTTGTTTTTCTTAGCCTTGGTCTGCAGTTGCAGACATGAATATGCTGAATGTAAACAAAGCACTGTTTGCATTCTCTCAACGCGCATGGGAAGACAAGACAGTTAAGAAGGTCCTATTTGCCCAAATATCCATATGTAAGCTTGTTCTTTTCCAAAGCCCACCTCACACCACCAGGCTTCATCTGCCAGGTTTGCAATTTTTGAGGAATAAAATGGTATTTTGGAAATTTTTTGGAATGCTCGCGTGCAAGCATTCTGCATCAACCTTTGTTGTCATGTTGCAGTTTAACCGCGTTCCACCCATTGCCTTTTCAGTTCCAACCCAAAGGCAATCTTTCTAGTGATACAAAATGCCTCGTCTTTATAGTAATCTTTTAGATTCTCCAAGATGGAATTTTTTTCCATTAGCCAAATGCTTGTTTCACTCTTATAAACTATTACCTAGGCATACAGCTCGGGAACACAGCGCAGAGATCTAACCCAAGTCCCTGAGAGATATAGGAGACTTTCAAGTGTTTACCTCACCAGCATTTACCCAACACCAAAATATCATTTTTGGTGGACTGGCCCTTTGAGATGCTAGTGGATTCCTAAATTAACCAGCACCTACCAAAGTCTGAGCAATCATTTTAAAGAAGAACCTCCCCTTTAAATCAACTTCCTCCCTGGAAAGCCACCTGCATCCTCCCGGCATGGCTCAGCATATGCTTATTCAGGATGTGATTGGATCCAAAAAGTTGACCGCACTCCGGACAAGGCAGGGGTCTCTGCGGCAAGTGGATCTTCTCGTGGCGGACCAAGTCCGACTTCTTGATAAACCTCTTTCCGCACTGTGAGCAGGGAAAAGGTTTGACGCCCGTGTGGATGCGCCTGTGCATGAAAATATTGGACACGCTGGTGAAGCGTTTACCACAGTCCGGGCACGCAAATGGTCTTTCGCCGGTATGTATACGCTCGTGTCTGACCAGGTCTGGCTTCCGCGAAAAGCTCTTCCCGCAATGGGAGCAGGCGAACGGCCGCTCGCCTGTGTGGATGCGCTCATGGATGACGAGGTAGGAGGCGCTGGCGAAGCACTTGCCGCATCCCGAGCACACGTGCGGCTTCCGGCCACGGCACAGCAGCTGGTGTTTGGCCAGGTTGCTGCTGTTCGAGAATGATCTTTTGCAATCTGGGCAGTTGTACATTGGTGGGGTGGCGTAACCGAGTCCACTGTTAAAGTTATTGCCAAAGCCCGCATAGTTCAGCAAAGTCTGGTTTTTGCCTAATTCTTCTGTATTAATCGAGTCCTTGCTATCCTCTTCTATGCAAACGTCCACGAAGGCCTCCTGAGTTGGTTCTTGAGGCTTAAAATCTCCCACGTTGTCCTCTTCTTCATGCTCCATCTTAATGGGGGTGGCAGCAAAGTTGACATGTAAATTGTTGCTACGGCTTGCTAGTGCCCCCCCTGTTGTAGTCTCCTGTATATGTCTCACAGGTAGGTAGATTTCTTGAAACGAGAGGCTTTCCTCTTCCCAAGTAACCAATTCTTGCTTGATACTCGTTAACTCATCTTGAGTTAGGTCCGCGTGGGTAAAGACGTTGGTGAACATTACGTTCTTGGGTTCTTCTGAGGTTTGGACTGATGTATACGACCCTGGTCGGCTGTTGGAGGCTGCATATACATCCATGTGGGTGACGCTTTCCTCTGGGCATAAAGAAGAAACCTCGATGATACAGTTTGATGGGTATTCATCTCTGGGGGATTGAGAGCTGTATTACTTTTTTTATAGGTGGACACACAATTTGGGTGCCACACAGGCTGATGGTCGTTAACCTCATCAGGTTTTTGAACCGTTTGTGGATGAGAACGACTTCTCACCACATTGCTTTCCATCCCCTTTTCAGGTTCGATGGTCATCAGGCAGTCATCATCGTCATCACAGCAATTTGGTTCTTCAAGCGGTTTTGGAATTTCAGTTCTACAGTCGATTATGGGATCTTCAGCCGTGGAGTAAATGCCATTGTCTTCATGGAAAGAAGACGACCCTTCCCTACTGTGGTCAAGATCCGTCTGCGTAAATTTTGTACATGAGGCCACGGTGGTTACTCTATATTGACCCAAGTTTGGTGATCCTGCAACCTTATCAGCACAGTTCTTTGTCTTCGGCTGACTCAAGTCTGAGATTGGCCGCTCATGAAAGTGTACCTTGTGCGTTTTATGGTTATCAGGGGCGATTGCGACATCTGACTCATCTGGAAGCAAATGAAGAGAAATTCAGATTTTAAATAATAAAAAAAAAGCAATTTGCAGCAAAAATTTTGAGTTTTCATTTAATGTTTTTAAGTAATTTTGTTCTTAAATGTTTTTCATTACAAAAAAAAAAAAGAAACTTTTAATACAAGGTGCACCGATTACACAAATTTACAGGTAATTTTGGCAGATGTGTATAGCCATTTGCTTTCAGGTTCCTTCTCTATAAATTAAATTGTTGTACTCGGCCACTCAAATAGATGAGGGAAGGGGGACAGTGAAGAGAGCGTGGGTAGCTCTGACTTATTAGGCTGAAATTGTCAAATTTCAGCTTGAGCTTCTGGGCTCTGTAAACAGGTTTTTTTTTTAATAGCAAAGCAGTTAAGAAGAGCCTTGTAAGCATTTGATAACAATCCAAGAGCCCCGCCTGCTGGTCGAAATGAGATTCCAAAATACTTACAGGGTAGTATGGACATGCTGCACCTTTAAGCCCTTCTGGGTGGCGGTAGTGATTGACCTTAATAGGATGTGTGATTCGACCCTCGGTTTGGATCCCAATTTACTCCTGTCGGGTATCTTGGATGGAATGGACTTAGGTCGTTATGTTAAGCTGTTTTTTTTTTTTTCTGCTACTTTTTATGCCCCCAGAGAGAGTGGAAGTCATCCCATACCCCCCTACTGTAGCTTTTTGGCATGCCGCTATTGATAATGCTTTATTGATGCACAAGTTAACCTACACGAGTAGGAATTGCCTCAAGAAGTTTGATAAGAAACGGTCTTGCCTGGATAGACTCCTGGGGTCCAGGTTAATCCCTTAGATAGACTCCTGGGGTCCAGGTTAAACCCTTAGATAGCCCCAGGGAAATTATTTTGCCTAAAGGTGCTTAACCCGGTGTATAGCACAGCACTCCTTTTCTACCACTACCTTCTATCCCTCTCCTCCTTTTGTGCGTTTCCCCTCTTACATCTTTTATCCCCCCCCCTTTTTTTTTTTTAGACTTGGGTATGTCTTGATACCACCTGACACCCTCCTACGCCTCCTCCGGATTTGTCTAATATGGCCCCGGATATGTTTTTCTATATCTTGCATTTTATCGTCTGCTTAGAATACTTGTTGAACCTTTTGGGTATGGCCCTTGAAAAGGATTGTGCAAGATGGCTTGGTTGGTCTATACTTGCGTTTCCCTTGTTATCGTTCTGTATTACAATATGCTGCATTGCCTGTATCTAATCACGATCATAATGAGGAAAGGGTATACAAAACACGAAACTGAATATATCTTAACTTACCTTGAGAGCTGAAAGGTTTTGCATTTTCCGCCATGACTTCTTCATAGAAATCCTTGTGTCCCTCTAAATACTCCCACTCCTCCATAGAGAAATAGACAGTGACATCCTGACACCTTATAGGAACCTGACACACACAATGATACAGTCACCATATAGAGTTACATAGTTATAACCCAACAATTCTGAGCTCTAGGCCCTCTAGTGCTTCTCCTTCCCTCCTGGAGTCCCCCCCCCCATCAGTATTTCATGCTAATATTTTTATGCTTGCCTATTACCAAAATCTTCAGGCCAGTAACAAAGCGCTGGACCCTGTCTAGTCTTCACCTGACTATGGGCGATCTTCAATGATGCAAAGAGCGGAACTGTTGTGACATCAGTGCTGCGCTCTACACCATTACCCTGTAAACATGGATGTGTTGTGGTCACAACTTCTCAGGGGCAGGCCCAGAGGCGTAACTAGCCTCAGCTGCACAGAATGGACAGGAATATATCATGTTCATTCAGAAACTGAAGCACCGTAAACACAGTTTTCCTTGCTTCAGTTATGAATGGACACAGGAGTGATCAGTACCGATCACTGACTCTGTGCATTCAGAAAAGGAAGGAGCCAGTAAATTAACATATTTACCAGCCCCTTCCCCCCACTCTCCATCCTGACACATCCCCCGCAGCCGCCAGTGGGAGTGGGGAAGGGGGAAGCCAGCAACGCTGCGGGAGGCCAGGAGAGCACACAGGGGCCCAGGGGCAGCAGGACCTGGATGGGGGGGGGGGGCAGCGGGGCCAGCATTTACAGGAACCAATTACCTTCCATTTTCCTCCTACAGCTGCTGAATACCTGTGGAAGGGAGAGGAGGAGAAGCTGGCTTTCAGCGGCTGCAAGAAGAAAATGGAGGGGATCAGTTCCTCTATATGCCACCCCTTCCACTCCTCCTATCCAGGTGAACAAAAGGGCCACATGGGCCCCCTGAAAAAGGGGGCTGGGTTGCAGTTATGATCCCTATAATTATGCCCCTGGACAGGCACATGATACCTTGTGCACACTGGATCTCGTCATTTTTCAGGAGGGGATCAGTTCCTGTATAAGCCACCCCTGCAGCCCCTCCTATCCAGGTAAACAAAAGGGTTGCATGGGCCCCCTGAAAAAGGGGGCTGGGTTGCAGTTGCGACGCTTATAATTACGCTCCTGGGCAGGCACATGATACCTTGTGCACACCAGATCTCCTCATTTTTATGGATTAAGTGATGTCATTCAACCCCAAAGGCCAAGGACATCTGGAAACCTAATAACTATGCGGGAAGCCTTTGTACCAAAGGTGGGTATTGCAGACTGATCTGTTTTTTTTGTTTTTTTTTGCAGGGGGGACATTAAAAATGTAAATATAAACCTGTCACGACAGAAACATGAAGGTCATTGCTGATCCCTCTTTCTGAAAATGCTTGACAAATGGATAGCAGTGGGTCGATTTTATAGCCGCTGTTCAGTCCAACAGGCTATGGAATTCGCCCACTGCACCACCTCCTGTCAATCACAAGGCAGTCAGAGCTGATGGAGAACTAGGCTCTCAGAGTTCATCATTCCCCACATGAAATATTTGTCGGTTGAGGTGCCTGTCAGTGTGGATGGTGCCGGAGTAAGGGGTAAGGTAAGTAGACCTCTTCAGCTCCCCTTATAAAAAAAGTGAGCATTTAATCCTTGCAGTGCGGGTGGGGGAGCGGAAGCCCACTGCAAGGATTGTTCTTGTCACATTACCAGAGTTCAGCTTTAACCGCTTTAGCTCCGCCCCATAGCAGAAATACTGCTACAGGGCAACAGCTGTGCGCAAAATCACAAATATATATGTGATTTTGCATTCGCGGCCGTCAATCTCATGGTCCCAGATGGTGATTACTCGCCGGCACCCGGTGATTGCCGAGGATCTCAAACAGGGGGAAGAACTGTTAGTAAACAAAAGATGGCGGTAAGGAACCTATACAGACCACACTTCTAGAGGAAGACAGCACATTGGTAAATATCAACAAGTGGCTGTCTCTTAACCGCTTCCCGTCCGTCCTATAGTAGAAGTACTGCTACAGGGCGGGACGGGTGCGCAAACTCACGTGTATATATATATATATATATATATATATATGTTCATGGCCGTGGCTGTCAATCAATGGGTCCCAGCTGGTGATTACTTGCCGCCGCCCAGAGATTGCCGTGTTCTCCTCCCGGTCAGCTCCTGCACACTGCTTTGTATGGCTGTGCACAGTGAAGCACACAGGGGCAGCACAGTGGCTAAATGGTTAGCACTTCCACCTGGCAGTACTAGGGTCGTTGGTTCGAATCCCAGCCACGGCACTACCTGCCGGGAGTATGCATGTTCTCCCTGTGCCTGCGTGGGTTTCCTCCGGGTACTCCGGTTTCCTCCCACACTCCAAGCACATGCTGGTAGGTTAATTGGATCCAGTCTAAATTGGCCCTAGTATGTGTATGTATGAATGTGAGTTAGGGACCTTAGATTGTATGCCCCTTGAGGGTTAGGGACTGATGTAAAAGTACAATATATATGTAAAGCGCTGCGTAAATTGATGGCATTATATAAGCACCTGAAATAAATAAGCACAAACACAGCCCACAGTTAACCCTTTGATTGCCCCACGTTAACCCCTTCCTGCCCAGTGCCATCAGTACAGTGTCAGTGCTTTTTATTAGCACTGATCACTAAATTGGTGTCACTGGGGATGTCAGTGACACCAAGTCAGTTCCCCCTAGTATCAAAATGCCCGCCGCAGTCCCGCTATAAGTAGCTGATCGTCACCATTACTAATAAAAGAAAAAAAAAATCCCAGTATCTATACCGCCATTTGTAGACGCTATAACTTTCACGTAAACCAATTAATTTTACATGTATTGGGATTTGTTTTTTTAGAACAGACACGGGAGCAGAATACATTTTGGTGTAAATTTAAGGTGAAATCTGATTTTCTTTAAATTTTTTTACTGGACATGTTTAATAGCAAAAAGTCCGAAATATTGTTTTCTCTCAAAATTGTTGGTCTTTTTTTTTTTATAGCGTAAAAATTTAAAAAAATGCACAGGCGATCAAATACTACCGAAAGAAAGCTCTGATCGTGGGGGGGGAAAAAAAAGGACGTAAATTTGAGTGCAGCGTTGCATGGCCGTGCAATTGTCAGTTAAAGTAATGTAAAAAGTGGCCTGGCCAAAAAGGGGGGGGGGGGGGGAATCCTCTGGAGGGCGAGGGTTTAAAGCTGCCACTTGACATATACATCCCTTCTGAATTCCCGGCACTGCTCACCTCTCCTGTCAGCAGCTCGATGATCTTCTGGGTGACTTCTAGAATCTTCTTAGAGTTGATTTTGCTAGACCGCTCGGGCAGGTGAGAGCGGCCGCCCGGTGTCACCTGCTCGCTGGACTTATTAACAACTGTGCAGCCCTAGAAAAACATTATTTCATTATCATATGTGATTTACTTGATAACATAGCAAGTAAAAAAAAAAAAAAAAATGTAGGCGATCTTTTTTCCCATGTAAAAACAGAAAAAAACAAAACATTTATTTCTAGCTTTAAATAGAGCCATGTTTTTTACCATCCCCCTTAAGCTGCAAAGGGGTTCATACATTACGCAGAAATTAAACCCCTTCGAGTGGATGGGGAAATGCGGTTCCAACACGGTAGTGTGGCATTTAGGGGGTTAAAGGGGTAGTTCACTTTTTCAAGGAAAAAACGAAAAGGTGATCTAACCCCCTACACCCCTCTGATCCCTGCTGTACTTACCTCTATGGGTGAAAAGCTGTCAGTGCCCATGCAGTTGGCCAGGAATGTGAAATTCCTACTTTTCTTCCCATTCTTGCTGCAGTGCTTCCAAAATGGATCAGAGAGATTCTCTGTGCCGGCACTGACCGACCAGAATCGCTCTGATCTGTCCCGGAAACCCTGCAGAAAGAAGAGGGAGAAGAGCAGGATCTTTCAAATCCCTTGGCCATGGCTGGGAGGGCAGTGACAGCTCCTCACCCATGGAGGTAAGTACAGTGGGGACAAGAAGGGGGGGGTTGTGGTGAGGAGGTAATATATTGCCTTCTCACCGCCTGTCAAATGCTTCCAAAAATCAATCCAATCGCTGATCACTTTTCAGAGAAGCGGCAGTCCTTGCCGCATGTGTAAACTTTCACTTTACATTAGGAAAACGTGGGAACAGGGAAGAAGTTAGGTTTTTAGAGTGACGTCATGTGACCTCCCAGAATCCTCCTCAGCTCTCTGGTCAGGTCTGTGTTTTATTAACAGAGATAAGAGTGATGTCATGTGACCTCCCAGAATCCTCCTCACCTCTCCGGTCAGGTCTGTGTTTTATTAATAGAGATGAGAGGGATGTCATGTGACCTCCCAGAATCCTCCTCACCTCTCCGGTCAGGTCTGTGTGTTATTAATAGAGATAAGAGTGATGTCATGTGACCTCCCAGAATCCTCCTCACCTCTCCGGTCAGTAGGTAGATGATCTCCAATGTGAGGCTTAGTATCCTCTCTGTCAAGTGATTCTTGTCCATTGTAAGTGAATAGTTAGGCGACTGTGAGCCGGTCCAATCGTTCTGTTTGCTTGACAGTGGAATGTCTTGCTGATGGGTGATGGAAACCTAAATTGTGACAATGACATTTCATTGAATATAATTAAACCCAGATTATCCATAAAGACACAATATCACAATAAAACAAGCAGATTTGGAAACGTTCAATCTACCCAAAAGGGATATTTTACTAGTTGGAGCCTCTTGGCATCATCATCTTGGACATGAGATTTTCACTCTCTGCTCCTTTCCACCTTGTAGTTTTGGATGTTCTGGTCTAGCTCCTCCTATTATATTCCCCATATAAAAAATGTAAATTAATAAAAAAAAAACTGCAGGGATGGTGGGAACCCCTTATAATGGGCACGGCGGTTGTACAGACCCAAAAATGAAGCACAGGGATGGTGGGAACCCCTTATAATGGGCACAGCAGGTGTACAGACCCAGGAACTCAGCACAGGGATGGTGGGAACCTCTCATAATCGGCTCGGCGGGTGTGCAGACCCGAAAACTCCGCACAGGGATGGTGGAAACCTCTCATAATGGGCACAGCAGGTGTACAGACCCCAAAAAAGCACAGGGATGGTGGGAACCCCTCATAATGGGCACTGCAGGTGTACAGACCCGGGAACTCAGCACAGGGATGGTGGGAACCCTTCATAATGGGCACAGCAGGTGTACAGACCCGGGAACTCAGCACAGGGATAGTGGGAACCCCTCATAAAGGACACAGCGGGTGTACAGACCTGGGAACTCAATACAGGGATGGTGGGAACCCCTCATAATGGGTACAGCAGGTGTACAGACCCAGGAACTCAGCACAGGGAGAGCAGAGAACCCTCTAATGGGTCAGGGAAAAAGAAGAGACTGTCAGGGGGTGCAATTCCTCAGCATCTTCTAAAACAGCTTACGCAAAAAAAAAAACCACATCATGGCACTACCCTGATTTAGGGTCCTTTCACACAGGTGTTCTGTTTTTTAATTCAGTTCAGTCATGTTTTTTTCATCCACTTACATCCATTTTTGCATCCATTTAGATCCATTTACATCCATTTTTCAACTATTTTTCTGCCGTTTACATCCGTTTAGATCCATTTACATCCGTTTTTCATCTGTTTAGATCCATTTACATCTGTTGTTCTTTCGTTTACATCTGTTTTTTGTACTTTTTTTGTTTTTTGCAGAAGAAAAATAGGGGTTTCTTCTGTTCAAAAAAAACCCAGATTTTAAGGGATGCTGACATTAACGGATGTAAAAAAAGATGTTCATCCGTTTACATCCGCAAGTCCATAGAAATACACGGAGGTCCATTTTTCATCCATAAACGGACAGATGAAAAATGGACCTACGGAACGCCCGTGTGAAAGAGCCCTTACTCCTACAGCTGGGCCCTACTCCTCTGGATGGCTGGGGTACAATGAGACGAGTAGCTCTCATAGGCAGTAGGCCCAGGAACCAGTTGGGACTTTTTCCCTGCAAAGTCTGGGCAGCACCATGCAGGGCCACACATTGAAGATCTCCAAAAAAAGGGGCCAAAGCGAAGTGTTTAGCTATGTGGGAAGTGGAACACTGCAAACCAAAAACACTATTTAATTCATTTTTAACAATCAAAGCACACTCCTCCATCCATCAATCCAGGTCTCCATGCATAATTTTGCTGAGAAATCATTTAGAACCCCCCCCCCCCTAGCATTTCTGGCTGTGGCCATCTTAAGTAAGGGCAGATAACTCATGTAGCATTTACTTCCTGGAATCCATCTGCTCTTAGCTCAGGGAGGCAGGGAGGAGGGGGAGCTTAGCTGAAAAAAACCCCTCCCTTCCTAGGATGTATGACATAATTTGCCAAGGCCAAAAACCAGGAAGTAACTGAGGAAAGGCAAAAAAAAAAAAAGTTTAAAACAAGTAAATATGATATACCTTCCTATTTACTAACACTAGCAGCATAAAAATTTTGGTTCACACCGTAAAACGCAGTCTAGATACGTTCCTGCATGCACATTTTTTACGCATTCTGGTGCGTTTTTGATGTGCTCCGGATGCTTTTTTTTGGGGGGGGGGGGGTCATTTTGGGTCCGGTGTGGTTTTGATACATTTTGACACGTTCCAGTACAGTTCTGTGCAGGAAAAACGCAGCAGGTTCTACTTTTTTTTTTCCTGGAACCAGAATGCACTAGAACTGAGAGAGAGCGGATACAGCAAATGCGGGCTCCGGGGAGAGCGGATATAGCGAATGCGGGCTCCGGGGAGAGCGGATATAGCGAAAGCGGGCTCCGGGGAGAGCGGATATAGCGAAAAAGCGGGCTCCGGGGAGAGCGGATATAGCGAAAGCGGGCTCCGGGGAGAGCGGATATAGCGAAAGCGGGCTCCGGGGAGAGCGGATATAGCGAAAGCGGGCTCCGGGGAGAGCGGATATAGCGAAAGCGGGCTCCGGGGAGAGCGGATATAGCGAATGCGGGCTCCGGGGAGAGCGGATATAGCGAATGCGGGCTCCGGGGAGAGGGGAAGAGCGGATATAGCGAATGCGGGCTCCGGGGAGAGCGGATATAGCGAATGCGGGCTCCGGGGAGAGCGGATATAGCGAGTGCGGGCTCCGGGGAGAGCGGATATAGCGAGTGCAAGCTCCGGGGAGAGCGGATATAGCGAGTGCGGGCTCCGGGGAGAGCGGATATAGCGAGTGCGGGCTCCGGGGAGAGCGGATATAGCGAGTGCGGGTGCGGGCTCCGGGGAGAGCGGATATAGCGAGTGCGGGCTCCGGGGAGAGCGGATATAGCGAGTGCGGGCTCCGGGGAGAGCGGATATAGCGAGTGCGGGCTCCGGGGAGAGCGGATATAGCGAGTGCGGGCTCCGGGGAGAGCGGATATAGCGAGTGCGGGCTCCGGGGAGAGCGGATATAGCGAGTGCGGGCTCCGGGGGAGAGCGGATATAGCGAGTGCGGGCTCCGGGGAGAGCGGATATAGCGAGTGCGGGCTCCGGGGAGAGCGGATATAGCGAGTGCGGGCTCCGGGGAGAGCGGATATAGCGAGTGCGGGCTCCGGGGGGGAGAGCGGATATAGCGAGTGCGGGCTCCGGGGAGAGCGGATATAGCGAGTGCGGGCTCCGGGGAGAGCGGATATAGCGAGTGCGGGCTCCGGGGGGGAGAGCGGATATAGCGAGTGCGGGCTCCGGGGAGAGCGGAGTGGGGAGAGCGGATATAGCGAGTGCGGGCTCCGGGGAGAGCGGATATAGCGAGTGCGGGCTCCGGGGAGAGCGGATATAGCGAGTGCGGGCTCCGGGAGAGCGGATATAGCGAGTGCGGGCTCCGGGGAGAGCGGATATAGCGAGTGCGGGCTCCGGGGAGAGCGGATATAGCGAGTGCGGGCTCCGGGGAGAGGGGATATAGCGAATGCGGGCTCCGGGGAGAGCGGATATATAGCGAATTCGGGCTCCGGGGAGAGCAGATATAGTGAATGCTGAGTCCGGGGTTTAACACTTTCATATAAATCCAAATAAAAACTACTCACAAGTATAAAAGAACACACATGTCCTTCTTCCTTTCAGAGCTTAACTTTAAAATGATCACACAACCAGCTTTATAGCCACATCATAAACCATGAGCTAAGTTAAAAGGCTAGTCACTCATTGGGCACCAGGAGTGTAGGGTGTTAGCACACCTTTTCAATTCATGTGAAAAGGTGAACATACACTTTCAATGGTGTGAATGTGGTGTTCAATGTGTAAATCCTGACACTAAACTCTTACTGGCTCCCTTTTGATATGGTAAATATACTATCCAATCCAATTTGTTAGGCGCAAATAAAATACATATTGAGCCTGCCAGGAATTGTGATAACTTCATGTGCTGCCCTCCTGTTGTTCTCAGTTGTCCGAGGACGACAGAACACCTCCGATGTTATAGTGATAAAAATAGAGAGAAGTTCTGTAGTCCTGTCCTAGTGAGACAATGATTGAGATATACATACACACACTGCTGAAAAAAAATTAAAGGAACACTATGAAAACCCATCAGATCTCAATAGGAAAGAATCTCCTGCTGGATCTCTATACTGATATGGACGAGGTAATGTGTTAGGAACATAAGAATGCCTCATCGTTTGATGGAAATGAAAATGATCGACCTACAGAGGACTGAATTCAAAGACACCCCGAAAATCAAAGTGAAGAAATGATGCAGCAGGTGAGTCCATATTCCTGAAATTTCATTGCAGCAATTTAGAATGGTCCTCAGTAGTTTGCATGGCCCCACGTGCTTGTATGCATGCCTGACAACGTCAGGGGAGGCTCCTAATGAGACCACGGCAGCAGAACGTTCTCCATGGCTTCTCTAGACCCTTTCACGTCTGTCACATGTGCTCAAGGTGAACCTGCTCTCATCTGTGAAAAGCACAGGATGCCAGTGGTGGACCTACCAATTCTGGTGTTCAATGGCAAATGCCAATCAAGCTCTATGGTGCCGGGCAGTGAGCACAGGGCCCACTAGAGGACGTCGGGCCCTCAGGCCACCCTCATGAAGTCTGTTTCTGATTGTTTGGTCAGAGACATGCACACCAGTGGCCTGCTGGAGGTCATTTTGTAGGGCTCTGGCAGTGTACTCATCCTGTTCCTCCTTGCACAAAGGAGCAGATACCGGTCCTGCTGATGGGTTAAGGACCTTCTATGGCCCTGTCCAGCCCTCCTAGAGTAACTGCCTGTCTCCTGGAATCTCCTCCATACTCTTGAGACTGTGCTGGGAGACACAGCAAACCTTCTGGCAATGGCAAGTATTGATGTGCCATCCTGGAGGAGTTGGACTGCCTGTGCAACCTCTGTAGGGTCCAGGTATGGCCTTGTGCTACCAGTAGTGACACTGACCCTAGCCAAATGCAAAAACTAGGGAAAAAGAGAAAAGATGACAGAAAAAAAATGTCAGTGGCCTCCACCTTTAAAACCATTCCTGTTTTAGGAGTCATCTCATTGTTGCCCAATCTAGCTCACCTGGTAATTTCATTAACACCAAAGCAACTGAAACTGATTAACAACCCCCTCTGCTACTTACCTGACCAGATTGATATCCCAGGAGTTTCAATGACTTGATGCTAGACTCTGACTACAAAGTCTTCCTTTCATTTTTTTTTAGCACTGTATAGATAGATAGATAGATAGATAGATAGATAGATAGATAGATAAAGATATCCCAACCACGGCACCACCTGCCTGGAGTTTGCATGTTCTCCCTGTGCCTGCGTGGGTTTCCTCCGGGTACTCCGGTTTCCTCCCACACTCCAAAGACATGCTGGTAGGTTAATTGGCTCCTGTCTAAATTGGCCCTTGTATATGAATGTTCGTTAGGGACCTTAGATTGTACACCCCTTGAGGGTTAGGGACTGATGTGAATGTACAATATATATGTAAAGCGCTGCGTAAATTGATGGCGCTATATAAGTACCTGAAATAAAGAGATAGATAGATAGATAGATAGATAGATAGATAGATAGATAGATCTAAGATCTTTGATTTGGATCCCCATTACAACCACACAACATGCATGTCTGACAGCAAAAGTTTTGGCTTTAACACCTACATGCTGCACATGTGTATCACTGAGCATGCTCACTGCATGCTTCCAGGACAGGTCAAAGACAGCTCTTAGGCCAGTCTAAAGTTCAGTAGGCAGTGGGACCAGCTTCCGGTCGCTGATCCTTCCCACTGCCCAGGTGTTCGGAACTGTTTAAAAGCTTAGCCTGACTGGAAAACTCCTAAAGATGGCATCATCCCATCCTGCCTTGTTGCTAGGATGTTGCTAAGACAC